TTGGCCAAAATTTATTCAGCTATCTTTTTGGTAAAAAAAATAATCAAAATCAGTTCATAAAAAAATAATTATAATTTATCAAAAAAAATGTTTTTTATTGTTTTATACTATGAATTTTTTTACATACTGTAACCCTCGCAGGACAGTGTCACCATAGTGACACTGTACTACTTGTGGGAGGGGGGGGGGTGATTATTTTTTTTTTACACTGATTGCTTTTACACCCATAAGGCTGGAAAAGCAATCATTTCTCCTTCTCTCTGGCTGCATTCCTGCAGCCATTGAGAAATACTGTGATGGATGTAATTGGTCACAGCTTATCACATGATACAAGGCTGTTGTGAATGGCCTTGTACCATATGACCTCTGTGATCATTCACAGAATTCACAAGCAGTTAACAATAATGTCAAGAAGTGATATCTTGTTTACTACTGTTGATGTGATGTGATCACTGATCACATAAATTGGGACCTCACACAGCGGTCCCCCGTACATCGATCTGTGTTCTGCTTTGTCTGGTGGACACAGCGGGCACAGATTACGGCACAGCACTGTGCGCTCCCATGGAGAGCGCATAGGCATGGATGTGGGAGGACGTTTAGAAATGTCCCCTCTGCATCGGTAAGCTCCCGTCTGGCTGTTTATCAGCATGGGCCAGATGGGAAGAGGTTAGGGAGTGGCAAAAATGCACGGTTGAGCCGCGTTTTTCCACCTGCCAACTCTCCCCCCCATGCTGCAATACACAGTGGATGGGGGTATTTACATGCTTTGAACCTACAACAAAGTTTACCTGACATGTAGCGATTGGCAGGTGGCAAGCCTGCTGAACGCTACATATTCAAGTACATGGGGAAGTGCCACAAATGACAAAAAACTGTGTGCAGTACATGTGGTGGTGCCGCATCTGTCAGCAAAAATAGCATCAAAACGGGGTGAGAAGGCGTCTTATTACTTCCTCAACACCTGTCAGTAGCCTCTGAAGCATGATCTAAATGCAGATCAGGTTTCAGAGGAAAGGGAGATTTAAACATATGTAAGTCTACCTAACAGTGGTGTGTAAGCTCTGCTGTTCGCTGACATGTGATGCCATCCAGCGCATTTTACAACAGCTCACCACACATCACACTATGGTGTGAGTGGGGCACATAAAAACCTATGTTTTTTTATGTGCCCTGGTGGGGTCCTGCGTTTCTTTGTTAACCCCCCTGGCGGTATTCCCGAGTGTAGCTCAGGGTTAACTTTCAGTACCAGAAGCGGTAACCCCGAGCTACACACAGGACTACACTGCAGCGTTGCTCTGGGATCCCTCGAGCACCCGTCTTCTGGGTTCCATTCCCTGCGAGCGTAGGTACATACGGGGGATGGAACCGGCGAGAATTTAAAAAAAAAATTAAAAAATTTGACATTCACTAAATACACTAAAATCACATAGTATTACATTACTGAATCAAACCATTTCACATACATTTTGGTCCCTACTGCTTTGTCCTGTGCCCTGCCTGCATTTTTACTGTTCTTTCTGCCTAGAAACTGAGAAACGTCCATGAAGTCCAAAAAGCATCCCTCTACGTCAAAAGTGGTTTTAGACCAGCTAGAGAACAGCGATAGTAAATTAGAACCACTTGCAGAATTGAGTGATAATGATTCGTGGGGAAATTTGTCATCAGACACTGAAAACGATTCTGCGACTTTGCTCAGTGATGTGCGAACTTGGCGCTATATTTCAAATTTCAGTGTTTTTGGTTTGATTACATTATTGAATAAAATTATATTATCATATTTTCCGGCGTATAAGATGACTTTTTTCCCCATGAAAATCTTAACAGTCGGGGGTCATCTTATACGCCGGTATACAGCACTTTTTAGGGGAGTGATGCGGTGTGGTGCCGCCGCCCCCCCCCCCTCCAACGGAAGGGACACTAAGTACAGGGGCGGGCAGGGGGCTGCTGTTTCTTACCTGGCTCCGGTCCCAATCCCACGATGATCCAGTACAGGAAGCGCGCCTGCTCCTTCATTCAGTTCGGGGCCGCTCGGCTCCGCCTCCTCACCGGTGATTGGGCGCCAGAAACTGTAGCTCAGGAAAGGCACACAGGCGCCCAATCACCGGCGAGGAGGCGGAGCCGAGCGGTCCCGTGAAAATCGAGTGAGGGAGCGGCCGGTAAGTGTGCCGTGCAGAGATGCTGCTGCAACCACGTATGCTGGCTGCAGCAGCACCATGCTGGAACAGGGGTCAGCAAGTGTCAATGGTGTCAGACGTGGCACTATTCCTTCCCCCGACTGACACCAATGACGGAGCACTATTCCCTTCCCCCGACCTACTGACACCAACGACGGGGCACTATCCCTTCCCCCCCCAACCTAATAACGACTGACACCAACGACGGGGCACTATCCCTTCCCCCGACTGACACCAACGACGGGGCACTATCCCTTCCCCCGACTGACACCAACGACGGGGCACTATCCCTTCCCCCGACTGACACCAACGACGGGGCACTATTCCTTCCCCCCCGACTGACACCAACGACGGGGCACTATTCCTTCCCCCCCCGACTGACACCAACGACGGGGCACTATTCCTTCCCCCCCGACTGACACCAACGACGGGGCACTATTCCTTCCCCCCCGACTGACACCAACGACGGGGCACTATTCTTCCCACTGACGGGACACTATTCCTCCCACCCCATCATCGGTGTCAGTGGGGGGAATCGTGCCCCATCATCGGTGTCAGTGGGGGGAATCGTGCCCCATCATCGGTGTCAGTGGGGGGAATCGTGCCCCATCATCGGTGTCAGTGGGGGGAATCGTGCCCCATCATCGGTGTCAGTGGGGGGAATCGTGCCCCATCATCGGTGTCAGTGGGGGGAATCGTGCCCCATCATCGGTGTCAGTGGGGGGAATCGTGCCCCATCATCGGTGTCAGTGGGGGGAATCGTGCCCCATCATCGGTGTCAGTGGGGGGAATCGTGCCCCATCATCGGTGTCAGTGGGGGGAATCGTGCCCCCATCATCGGTGTCAGTGGGGGGAATCGTGCCCCATCATCGGTGTCAGTGGGGGGAATCGTGCCCCATCATCGGTGTCAGTGGGGGGAATCGTGCCCCATCATCGGTTTCAGAGCGGGGAATCGTGCCCCATCATCGGTTTCAGAGCGGGGAATCGTGCCCCATCATCGGTTTCAGAGCGGGGAATCGTGCCCCATCATCGGTTTCAGAGCGGGGAAATCGTGCCCCATCATCGGTTTCAGAGCGGGGAATCGTGCCCCATCATCGGTTTCAGAGCGGGAATCGTGCCCCATCATCGGTTTCAGAGCGGGGAATCGTGCCCCATCATCGGTTTCAGAGCGGGGAATCGTGCCCCATCATCGGTTTCAGAGCGGGGAATCGTGCCCCATCATCGGTTTCAGAGCGGGGAATCGTGCCCCATCATCGGTTTCAGAGCGGGGAATCGTGCCCCATCATCGGTTTCAGAGCGGGGAATCGTGCCCCCCATCATCGGTTTCAGAGCGAGGAATCGTGCCCCATCATCGGTTTTCAGAGCGAGGAAATCGTGCCCCATCATCGGTTTCAGAGCGAGGAATCGTGCCCCATCATCGTTTCAGAGCGAGGGGTAATCGTGCCCCATCATCGGTTTCAGAGCGAGGAATCGTGCCCCATCATCGGTTTCAGAGCGAGGAATCGTGCCCCATCATCGGTTTCAGAGCGAGGAATCGTGCCCCATCATCGGTTTCAGAGCGAGGAATCGTGCCCCATCATCGGTTTCAGAGCGAGGAATCGTGCCCCATCATCGGTTTCAGAGCGAGGAATCGTGCCCCATCATCGGTTTCAGAGCGAGGATCGTGCCCCATCATCGGTTTCAGAGCGAGGAATCGTGCCCCATCATCGGTTTCAGAGCGAGGAATCGTGCCCCATCATCGGTTTCAGAGCGAGGAATCGTGCCCCATCATCGGTTTCAGAGCGAGGAATCGTGCCCCATCATCGGTTTCAGAGCGAGGAATCGTGCCCCATCATCGGTTTCAGAGCGAGGAATCGTGCCCCATCATCGGTTTCAGAGCGAGGAATCGTGCCCCATCATCGGTTTCAGAGCGAGGAATCGTGCCCCATCATCGGTTTCAGAGCGAGGAATCGTGCCCCATCATCGGTTTCAGAGCGAGGAATCGTGCCCCATCATCGGTTTCAGAGCGAGGAATCGTGCCCCATCATCGGTGTCAGTGGGAGAATCGTGCCCCATCATCGGTGTCAGTGGGAGGAATCGTGCCCCATCATCGGTGTCAGTGGGAGGAATAGTGCTCCATCATTGGAATACCATACTGAAATACCATACCATATTGAAATCAAATCTGATGTTTTTTTCATTTTTATTTGGTGTGCGTTGGAAGAGGGGTAGTCTTATACGGCAAGTATAGCCCAAACCCTATATTTTTAATAGGAAAAGTAGGGGGTCGTCTTAAACGCCCAGTCGTCTTATACACCAGAAAATACAGTACTTTTTATGATTATATTATAATTTGATTTCATGTTTAAAATTTTCTCATACCCGGGATGTTTACTAGACTCTTGCTTGGACAGATTTCAGTGAGTTATTCCTAAGAATTACAGGCCTAAAATAAAAAAAACTTAATTCCATTGAAAACAATGTACCGCTTTGAGCACAGAAGTACTGACATAATCAGACCACTAGGGAGGTTAAAGGATAGTGTGAATGAGCCCTAATGTTACCAAAGCTGGTGCAAATGCTTGCTGCATAGAGGTGTAAGTGGACCTAGTGGCAGAAAACTGGTGAATTTGATTGATCTCCAGATTGTGCTGCACCTGTCATCAGCCAGTGGAGGGTTCAGGTGGGTCAGTCTGCAGTGACAAGGGCAGCTTATGTCATGTGACAGCGATGACCTCACCTCCGGCATAACCCCAGGACACACGTAGAATAGGAGCAGGTGTACAACAATGGAACCTGCCCAGGAATAACATTCGCCCCCCAATACTGGGAGAGGCGCCTTACCCTCAGCGATCACCCGCTTCACTCGAAGCTTCAGCTCTCCCAGCTCCACGGTCTGCCCTACGAAGTCATGCTGGTCTCGTCCGGCGGCCCCCAGAGAGCCAGGCCCGGCCAGGAAGTCCAAAGCGGACTGCAGGAGAGACATGTCCCCGACCGCCTCACCCACACTTCCGGAAAGCCCCGCGGAGTTAGCGGTCGGTACCCGGCCGGTTCTCACTCACTGTCCTGTTTCCGGCCTCTTTCCTGCTTCCGCATCCGTGACATCATCCGCCGCTGACGTACAGCGACTCCCTCCTCCCAGGCCGGTGCTGTGCTCAGTGATGACGTGTACAGGACACGGTGTACTGAGGGTGCACCTGCAAGAGAGGAGGAGGCTGGTGCTAGTCTATGGGAGTACAAACAAAGACCAAATAGGTTTCATTACTGACTCACTGTGTGCAATGAGTAGTGCTAGGAGGAGACGGGAAAAGACTATTCCTAATGTGTTGTGTGAGAATAATAAAGATTTGTTTATATATTCTGTTCTTCAAAGCTCAGCTCCACCATTTAGATATAATATGTTAGTGTCATTCCTGCCTGAGGGAATACAAATTAAATGGATTGTTTCCATCATTACTGCAATGTTGACCGAGATGTCATCTTCCCAACCCAGCAATGTACCAGTACGTCAGTGGTCGGCAAGTGTTAGTAAACCCAGGACCCTGCATGCACTGTAACTGGTCTCCCACAGTACACACTACATGGAAGTACAATTATTTTAGTAAATATAAAATGCTAAATACCTTTTCTCATCAGCAGTTAGAGCAGTCCTGTGACTTCTATCAGTGTCCAGCTGAGCACTGGTCAAAGCTTGATGGAATTATCATTCTTCCCCAATTGTCTTATGAGGCTGCATAACCCCTGACCTTCTGTCTGGACAGTGCTGATTGGCCCTGTGCCAATCACATGCACCCTTCCAAAAAAAAAAAAAAACTCTAGCCCTACACACTAAACTGAGCATGTGCAGAGTGACTCTGTGCTATTAGCAGATGGGTTGGGGACAGTAGAAGAAGGAGAAGACAGGATCAAACAGCCTTTTTACACAATGCAGAGGGATTAACCTCCCCCTTCCTTTAGATTGTAAGCTCCACGAGCAGGGCCCTCCTATTCCTTCTGTACCGTAGTGTATTGTAATTGTACTGCCTCCCTTATATTGTAAAGCACTGCGCAAACTGTTGGCGCTATATAAATCCTGTATAATAATAATTAACCTATTAGGTTCCAGTGAGTATCACAAGCATGCTTTACTGCGTATACAGACTGATTTTAATGTTGTGGGCTTTTAAATGGATTGATTAGAGCAGTGGTTCTCAATCACTGGCCCTTGGTCCCTTGCCAAACCATGGCCTCCCTCCTCCCAGTCTTCCATCTAGCTGCAGATCCCCTCCCACAGTGCCTCCCAGCTCCCATAATGCCAACCTCCCAGAATGTCCTGCAGTGCCCCCCAACCTATCGCAGTGCCCCAGGCCCCCTAAGAACCCACAGCCCCTGCAGTGCCCTATAGCTTGCTGCAGATCCTCTAGTCCCCCCCCCCCCCTAGTGCCCTTAACAGTGTCCTAGAATGCCTTCTAGTCACATTCCCCCTGCAAAACCCCCACTCTCCTGGAGAGATTCCCATCCCATCCAGAGACCCCATCTCTCACAGCTGCCCTCAGCCAACTCCAAAAACCATACCCCCAACTTTGTGAGGGCCAACTATTAGTAAAAGTATGTAACCATAGGACAGACCCGTGCCATGCCCCCTTAAAGGAACATTATTGTAAGAAAATCTCAGTACATGTTGGAAGGAGAAGGCTGGAACATGCTCATAATTCAGAACAGGCATTGTCACACGTGTGCAAATGTATTAACGTGTGCAGAAACCATATGCATACATGCATATTTATGAGCATTGTCGCCAAACGGCTTATTTAACCACTTGGTAACCGCGCTATAGCCAAATGACGGTTACCCAGTTCTGGGAAGGTGTCATATGACGTCCCCCACAGGTGCGCACCCGGTGATCTCCTACGGACACAGCTGATGATGTGATGAGGTAAAAGGCCAATCACAGCCTTTTACCACGTGATCAGCTGTATCCAATGACACAGCGGATCACAAAGTAAATACAGTTGCCGGTTATTGGTAGCACTTTCCTCACGCTGTCACAGCATGAGGAAAGTACTGCTTATAACTGGAAGCTGTCACAGAGGATATCGGCACTGATCATCAGGGCACTGATCAGTGCCCTGCAGTGCTGCCCACCAGTGCGACATATCAGTGCCCAGCCTTGCCACTCACCAGTGCCGATCAGTGCCCAGCAGTACCACCGATCAGTGCCATCAGTCAGTGCTACCAGTCAGGGCTGTCAGTCAGCACCAGCTGTTGGTGTCACCCATCAGTGCCACCTATCAATGCAGCATCTTCAGTGCCTCATCATCAATGCCCACTAGTGCCACCTCATCAGTGCAGCCTATCAGTGCCCATCAGTGCTGCCTATCTGTGCCACCTCATCAGTGCCCAACAATGCTGCCTATCAGTGCAGCCTCATCAACGCACATCAGTGAAGGAGAAAAATTACCTAGTTTGCAAAATTTTATAATAGAAACAAAGAAAAACTTTTTTTTTCCAAACCTTTTGCTTTTTTTTTGTTTATAGTGGGAAAAAAATACCCAGTGGCAATTAAATACCACCAAAAGAAATCTCTATTTATGTGAAAAAAAATGATAAAAATGTCATATGGGTACAATGTTGCATGACCGCACAATTGTCATTCAAAGTGCAACAGTGCTGAAAGCTGAAAATTGGCCTGGGCATGAATGGGGTATAAGTTCCCAGTAGGCAAGTGGTTAAGCTGCACTCTGACCTGGATGGATTGCTGAGTGGGCTTAAGCTAGTTCCTGCTTTACCTGAGCCTTGACCTGATATACCTGCTTATCTGTGTACGACATGGCTTGCCCCTGACCTGTTCTTGGATTTCTTCCTGCCTAGTTTGAGCTCAGTTTTCCTGTCTTGTGTTCCTGTACCTTACTGCCCGGCTGTGTACCGATCCCGGCTTGTATCCAGACTCTGTCTCTGCCTGATGTTCCTGTACCTTGCTGCCTGGCTGTTGTGGACTTTTTGGGTTATGTCCAGGCTACACTCCTATCTGCCAGGCAAGTGTCACAGTGTTCCAGTTTCTGGTTCCTGCCTGGTGATCTACGGTCATCTGCTTTCTGCAGACCCCAGCTGGCGCTATCTGCTACACCGGCCCTTGTGCCACTCTGTGTCCTCCTGCACAAGAGGTGGAGGAGAAGCACCTCTCCAGCTTGATCACCACCAGGTACATGATAATTATATATAAAAAAAAGGAAATAGTTAAACCCCCAAATGCTTTTTTTTACCTCTACCATTCCTTTATACTGACTTTTGGAATTTACAAATGCAGCAATTTAGAAATTGGATGAAAGGTTTAGCACTGGGAAACACCTTTTGAAAGATAAAAGTGAATTTTATATACAACAATAGGTGTCCTTTAGGAAACAGAGATCAGCTGTGATCCTGAGGATCGTTGCTGATCTCCGATCATTAGTGATTTAAGAAACAGATGATCAGTGGAGAACATTGTGACGATCGCAGCGTCAGACCCTAGCCCTTCTCACCAACTCGTGACCGAAGGACTAGCCAATCTAAAACCACGCTGTCACGTGTGTAACAATGCCACGCTCAGCTGTACCCTGTACAAAGATTTTCCAGCTAATTGGACCACAATCTATGTACCGGCAGCCTGAGAGCGATTGTTACTGGGTCAGGTTAATTACATAATTAACCCTTCACACTGCCACCACCGCCTTTTTGTAGAGAAAAGGAGGAAACTCGCCAATATTAGCAATAACACTATGATGTTTGAATAATCGTCTGTATACCACTGTCAACTCAGGCAGAGATATATAGAGGTTTATACCACACAGTAGCACTCTTCAGAGACAGGGATTCTGTCATGCACCGCCTGGTGGCGGTGCCTCTAGCGATCCACAGGACAGGATTCCCCAGGGCACGGGGTCTAAGCCCCAGTCTGCTTGTTCACCAGGGCCCCTGATGGTGGGGATGGACTTGGAGTAGACAGTGACCCACGATCGCGAGTGCGCATGCGTGGCCGCTGCCGCAGCTGCCTAGGTCCTAGCGCCTGCTGATTAGAGTGCATTGGCGTTCTGCGCATGCGCAGACTCATGCACTGCCGTGATTGCTGACAGATTCTTAGTTTGCATTAAAGAGCTTTAGAAACAGTTCAACAATTTTCAGAGAATAAGATTTATTACTAAAAAGGTCAAAAGGGTGCAATAACAATATTTACAGAAAATGATGTAGCCAATATATATATATATATATATATATATATATATAAAATACAGAAAGCAATAACACAGCAAAGAGATAACAGAAAGAAGTTTTAGAGAGGTAGAGTAGTTGCCAAAAGTCCTGGGTTAAGCAGATCAAGTTTCAGAGCAAAGGGTACCGTCTCCCAAGTGGGTTCCTGATGTTAAAAGGGGAGAATTCTTCAACTTCAACGGCTCCAAGCATAACAGCCTTTTTCTAGAAACTCAGCAGGGTGTCTCCTTACAGCAGAGAATCAATCGCCTCATTTTGGGAGGGGTGTTGTAGGCGGGGGACTCAGACTAGAACCAAAATCCCTCACAAGTTGTACCATGGGTAATAACCTTCCCTAGGTACATGTAACATTCTATCCACGGGTAGATTATATGCAGAATCATCTGTGAACGTCTAGATATCAAACATGGCATAGTTCACTATTTCAGCTAGAACTATATGGCTTTCTGCTCTCCTGTAGACTTCAACTGGGGGGTGTAAGATATCAGACGACTTGCATTAAACTAGCTATCCGAATATATGCTTGGTTTTTATGTAATTATTTCCCATCTCCAGATATAAAATTATATGGAAAAGTGGGTTTAAATGTGTTTTCTGTTTTACAGCTAGCTGGAATGTCTTTGAAGCCCAGTGAAGGACTGGTTTATGGTTTTACGATTCTCTCAGATTGAGAAGCTAAAAGACACCCGGGCACCAGCTGATTTGGAATTTATAACCATGAAGCTGTCCCGCTGTGCCTGATTGCCTGTACGCTTCGGA